TCTTAAGGAAGATGACCAGCTTGAAAAATAATATTACTTATGTCTTGGAATCACATTTTGTGTAGATTAAACTGCAGCTGAGATTTTTCTTACCAGTCTTCCTTTGATTAAGCACAAGAGGTAGTGTAAGCAAGAGAACATCCACCATTACGAATGATCTGATTGTCCATATCATTTTTGCAGCTTTAAGAAAGGAGTTAAATTCACATTTTAAGTTTAAAATGTTAAAACAGTAATAAAAAAAACTTATTGTGGGCATGGTGTAAGAAAAGCTCTACATTAGTTCAATTCTGTTTTTTGTTTTTTAGAGTGCACTGGTATCTTTATGATTTTATGAAGGTGTTATAAGTTGGTGTGAAGGTGGACTTTTAAATTTGAGTTAAAAAAACAAAAAACAAAAGGTGAACCTTTATTCATAAAAATAAGAAAACAATGTCCATAAATTAAAAGGGTTAAAACATACAGGCATTCAAACACGCAGCAATCAACAGTAACAAAACATTAACAATGAGGAAATAAGGTAAACTGAGGCTTTTAATATACTGAGATAACAGGAGAAATAATTGCCACGGGGCGATCGTGGCTCAAGAGTTGGGAGTTCGCCTTGTAGTCGGAAGGTTGCCGGTTCGAGCCCCAGCTTGGACAGTCTCGGTCGTTGTGTCCTTGGGCAAGATACTTCACCCATTGCCTACTGGTGGTGGTCAGAGGGCCTGGTGGCGCCAGTGTCCGGCAGCCTCGCCTCTGTCAGTGCGCCCCAGGGTGGCTGTGGCTACAATGTAGCTTACCATCACCAGTGTGTGAATGTGTGCGTGAATGGGTGGATGACTGGATATGTAAAGCGCTTTGGGGTCCTTAGGGACTAGAAAAGCGCTATATAAATACAGGCCATTTACCATAACTTATTTAGAGCTGAAGTCTTTAGAATTCAAGCCTAAAAAGTGTACTTGTTCAAACAATTAAAACCATTTCATTTTTAAAATTCTTATCTGCAGGACCATGTCCTGTTGTGACTTTCATAGTAGGAGCAGAGGTCAAAGTGCTTGCAGATGAGAGTGATCTACAAGTAGTCAGAACTAATGCATTCACAAAAAGAAAAGTCAAATCTTCAAAGTCAAAAAGCAATAAACTACAATCAACTACTACCTCAACTTTCCTCTTGGTGTGGCTATATGCACATAATGTAAAAGAAAAAGAGGAGTATGTCACTTACTTCCTATGTTGATGGAAAATATTTTACTGTGAGGACACTGATGTTGTCCTCCTTTATTGCTGTGACATGTAAAAACATGTCACTACCACCTCAGCAGTAAACTCTGCTGCCCAAGATAGGACTTCAGTTCCTGTTACATTCTGCTCACAGGAGACGGATGTATATTTGCTTCTTCTTATAACGTATGAAAAACACTTAAAAGATGATGGAGTCTGACAGTTCACTGTGACTGAGTCTGTCTCTGTGATCACAGGTGGATTCAGATGAAGGAATTGCTGAAATTTAGAGATACTAAATATAAGTTATATTAAATAGATAATAATTCCATGTGTCAAATCACCATTAACAGAATAATATATTGTTCAAGAATAGTCAGTATATAGTTGACACACTGATGACAGAAAAAAACAATAAAATAATAAATTAAAAGTCAAATGTGCAAAATCAAAATCAGTGTTTTAATGGGTAACTTTGTATGGTGATTGGTGACATGTTACTGAGTGGGGACTTCTGAAAAAAAAAAAAGAAGCAATAACATGTCACTTCAAGTGTAACAGAATAACTTTTGGCAGTTTTCTTTCTTGAAATGAGGAAATAACACTGAGGCACAGAAACAGGAGTTCAGTGTGACTGAGTCTGTCTCTGTGATCACAAGTGGAGTCACAGTCAGTTCAGGTGGCAGAATGCCTGAAATTTCATATGCACAGATTTTTATTTCTAATAGTTAGTTCCCAGTGTCAGAAATCATAAGGTGATAAGATTTTTGTAGAGAAACTGCAAAGAAAGTCTAAATAAATAGCCAACACATTGGTGACAAAAAACAAAACATGAAACTTAGAGACTGACCTTGTGCTTTAATTTCATGAAAAGAATCTGGTGAAGAACGGCAATATGAGAAAAAAGTGATGATACAGCTGTAAAATTTAATCATAACTGACATAATAACTGAATAGATTTTAAGTAATAGGAAACAATAAAAATTAGATGTGACAAAAAGTTTGACTTTAGAACATTTACTAAATAATGTCAAAGTAAAAAGCCCATAGAAACATAAAAGCTTAGAGATTGATCCCGTACTTTGTTACTGATAGTTAAAAATACAACACAGAAGCAACAATGTACGAAATTTACTGTCTAGTGTTAGCATCCTCATGTAAAAATGCAACATGCTAACAGTGATACCTAACTGATAAATCACCTGAATGGCCGACATCAAGTACCAGCTGATATAAGAAAAAGTTTAACTTATATGCAAAGGCCACCAACAGCAGCAGGAGTTCAGCCATGATGAAACCATGTGAACAGAACAGACTACTACTAACTGCTTTTACTTTTGCCTGAAATAAGTGACATTTTCAAAAGTTGCTTTCAGGAAAACCACAGGATCAGAAGTGAATCACACTAACTGGCCACAGTAAGCCATATGTTTTTCTCACTCTGTCCTGTACATGTTTTTTCATAATATTTTAGGTTAATGTGTAAAGTCTTTTTCTTCTTTTTTTTCCTTAATTCTATATATTCAGGTAAATAAATGTGTAGAAGGAACAACACTAAAAACATTCATATACAAATCAGTCTATTTCTGATTAACAATTGTTCTACTTCCTGGGAGTGGTGTGAGTGTAAACACTGCATCTGCTGAGGTTCCGTTCTTCTGAATAAAATGTGCAAAAAAGGTCTTTGTGAGAACAACTAATGAGCAATGAATAATGAGTTCCTGTTTAGCTGTTTTGTGTGTCATACCATGTTGAACATTCCTGATGCTCTTTTCACAACATCTAACGTAAAAGATAATTGTGGTCATAAATAAATTAACATTTGCATCTGCTGTCTTGTTCATCATCTTTTTGACAATAACTGTAAGAAGGCAAAGTTTCACTTCTACTTTGTGTTACGGCCGAGAGGCCAGACCAGGTGAGAGGCCTCAAGTGCAGACACAGACAGAGGCAGATGAACTCTGATGTGAGATCAACAGCCAAAACTTCTACAAAACAAATTCTGTGATCACTGCTGTTTCATTGCCAGTTTTAGACCAAGACATGTTATACTGAACGCTTAGATGTTATGTCACATAATATACCTGCGCCTTTTTTTTACCCTATTTTCCCATGTAAGCAGTTATACATTACCCAATCCAATCATAGACTAATCGTGGAATAACATACAGTTACGGCACAACTCAGCAATAAATACAGTAGATCAGAGCCTGACCTTGTACTTGCATTACGTGGAAGGACACTGTTGAAAATATATGTCAAGAACATAAATAAATCTATTAATAAGTCTGAAATAACTTTAGCAAAATATATGTTTCAAGTGTGAACTTACACGAATGTTGAGAGATCACATTAAATATTGCAAAATCTGCAGGATGTTTAACTCACACATTAGGACAGCACACCAAAGGCTCTGTTGAGAAGAAGATTCTCACGTTTCTGACGACACAGAAGGGGATGAATCATTTTGTAGCAGTTGGTCACAGGAAAACCACAAGAGGCAGGAGAAGTACTTCATCACATATTGAGGCCACAAAGCTACACATATAAAGAGCAGCTAATTAAAAGTACCTATATGTGTGTTATATATACCAGCCACCACAGGGGGGCTAAGTTAAGATTACTAAATATATGCTACAGTATCATTTCTGTTGCTTTAGCTGTTCCTCAGATGAAGGTCAATCAAGGTGCAGTGCACAAACTTGATAGTACAGTAGGGGTCTTAATTCCTAATGCTACTATGTAGCATTAGACAATATATACAATCAAGAAATTGTATATATTGTAACACAATTATTCCAGAGTTCAAATTTCAGACTATATTTTCATTTATATTAATTATAATTTCACAAATCATGTGACTGATTCAGATACCACAGTTTATAAATACACCAGTGGGCTCTGTGTCTGAAAGTCTCACTGGCCTCAAAAGATGTTGTGAAAAAGGAACTTCAGGCCGCTCGCGTGAGCATGACATGTGCTGTGCATGCCCACATTGTCCTTCTTCTGGTTATATGCATACACCCAGAAACTGCTGATAATAATGTGGAAATGAACATCAGCCTATGAGGAAAAAAACAATTAATAATATTATAATAATGTTTTGAGAAGAAAATGGTAAGTTTACCCACCAAAACTATTTAAATATGTTTAATGTTGTTATCCGCGACCCGGCCCTGGATAAGCCGAAGACGATGGATGGATGGATGTTTAATGTGTGAGGACTAGAAAAGTGGTTTACAAGACTTGTGCTGGCAAATGGTTTGAGGCTTTTAATACATTTTAGATCACTTTCACAGTTAACTGAAATTCTGAGCACTGAAAATAATATAGTTAAATTGGGCTACTGAGCCCTCAGAATAAAATAAGTAGAAAAGTTATAGATTCACATGATTGAGAATTGTTTGTGCAGACTTAGTGAAAGGAGTGTGGGAGTAAACAGAGCGAGGCCATAGACAGTAGCTCACATAGATACAGTAGATGCAACTTAAGGTGCATGAAACTGGGTGACGGTGACGGTGTGTGTGTGTGTGTGTGTGTGTGTGTGTGTGTGTGTGTGTGTGTGTGTGTGTGTGTGTGTGTGTGTGTGTTTTCTTTATCCTAGAGAAAAAGAACACGCGACAAATACTGTGGCTTGTTACCTGTGTTAGTTTATGTGTAATAACCAGGAACCAGAAATGGAAAATGAAAAACTACATATTTCTAATACATCTCACAGTGATATATCACACAAATGAATCCTAGAGCCAAAAACATACATCTCTATTTACTGAATGTAAATTTCAGATCTTCCCCCTGTTGTTTTACTTCTGTTGCCTGTGTGGATACAAAGTATCATCATCACTAAATGTTTTATGTCACATGATTATGTTACTACTACTAGGCAAACTGTAGCAGCTGTGCAGTGCAGCAACCAACTACAGTACATTATTCTTCCTGTATTTTTTCATCATCATAATCTTTGGCCTAAAATGGTCTTGTGTGCTGACCTAAAAACTGCAGCTGGTTGGTGGGCTGAGGGTCAATTGTATGTTGCCTATTTTTACAAGCCTGTGTGCAGTCACAGCACGTAACAAAAGACTAACTGCTAATGTTATTGTCACAACTCAGAGTAGTAGAGCATCATCTACACAAATTTATATACTGGAGTTGTATTATATAGATACATTCGAAGTACTAAACAGCTTTATTAAGTTGTGCAATAACAGACAGGGTACAGATAAGATTAAGGGGAGATGTATTTCATAGCCCTCAGTAAAGATAGAGATTCCTCTAGATTCCGCTTATTAAAAATACTAAAGCTGAAATCATCATCATGTCAGTTATCTTTAAATAGAAAAAAAAATCTACAACAATTCAAGCTCAAGGTTTTTTGCAAGATTGCATCTATTACCTGTCACACTTTTCTCACTTTGACATGATTTAGATCATTTTAGACATTTTACTAACAACGTCACCAAACATGTTTCACTGTGTTTCAGTGTGCATTCAGCGTGCTGTATATCGTGTCCTGTGAATCTGGTGGATCTGTTGCTTCAGAGATGGTGGCGTACACATGGTAAATGTCAGACTAGAAGAGAAGGAGTAATGACCTTTTAGTCATTAGCATTGATTAAGATGAGAAGCGGACATATTTATTACTACACCAGGTCTAACTTACATCTTCATTTTTTGTCTGCTCCAAGTTTAGTTTCTCTCCTGAAAGAGAACAACATTGAAAAATTATTTCTTTCAGTCAAGATTAAAACACACACACACACACACACACACACACACACACACACA